CCAATATACCATAATCTACAAATATGGTAAGCGTACGCTTCGGGCTAAAATTAAAAGGGCGCTAAAAAGTTTAAGATTTGGTAAGAGTTGTCTAATATCTTGGGCGCGTTTTTAATAAAACAATCATTCCACTCACGCTTGTTGGATATGAGATGATTATAGCCAACTCGGCGCTACGCGCCTCGTTGGCTATCTATCATCTCACATCCAACGCGGTCGTTGAATAATTGTTAAGTATTTACGGTTCTCAGGAACTTTCTGGAATCTTTGTAAAAGATATATAAGGAGTCGCGATCAGTTCAAGTTAGGCCTTTTAGTGAGTTAGTGCTGTTGTTGCGAAGAGCCCAGAAGAGTTGGTGTTGGAATCGTCAGCCGTGAGGAAGGCTACGTTGGCAAAAGTGTTGTGGACGTCGACAAGTTATAAGGATCATTAAAAGGAACCGTGAGTTATGTGGTAGTTCACTGAGATTATAGTTTTAAAAGAGGGCTCTAGGATAAGATAGTTATTGCATTAGTTATTGGTATCGGTCTGTAGTGAGATTGTTGCTTTAGTTAATAAAGTAGTCAAGTTGGTATGAGTTGTATCTCTCTGTCGGTTTGGAAAATACCGTAACACACAAAAGAAGAAATCTAAGTCCACAACAAACACGTGCATGAAAAGTTGATCGAGCAGCAACTGCAGTGCTCATTGCCGACGGTCTCTTTTTCTTTATTTGCCAGACTCGGTGTGCCATCAGTACAGGGGAGCTACAAAAAAGATACTGAGTATGTCAGCAAAACAGCGTGAAGTTGAAAGATATTGCTACAATTGCAAGAATAATAAATGTTATGATGTACTTTGATGGTAATATAAGCACAGCACTGTACAAATATATCTACGGAATTTCCCCCTGAGTGATTATTTCTTGGTTAACTTAGTTCTTCAACTCAGTAATTCGCGCAGTTCAAGTTTCATTTCCCACATAATGAGTTTTTATTGACTTAAAATTTCCAGTCATTATCATTTGGATTAATACCTAGGGAATTTTTATTTCTATGGTACCAGATTTCAAATCTCAGTTGCTATTATTCAGACGTGCATGAAGTAAGCGGGATAAACACATCTTAAGATCACAAAAAAAAAATTAAGAAAAAAAATTAGGAAAGTTTACGGAAAATTTGATACATCACATCCATAGGAAGACCTGTCGTGATTTGAGATGGCTTTAGAAGCCTCATCTTTCAAAACATTCACAACAGTAAACAAGAGATCACTGAAACTGTATCAGTGGCGTAAAAAAATCACAACGTTCAGCAGCTTCGGTTTCATTTCTTTGCTCTCCTTGTGTAGGCATCCTGGTATTTTCAACGCATCAGTTATCTGAGTTCGTTTCTACCCAATAATAATGATACGTGCTGCTCGGGCCAGGAGGCGCGTGTCTCTAATTAATGTTTACCAAAAAATGTCCCAATAACTTTTTTGCTGAAATAAATAAATAGTTTTCAGCTAAAGATTACCTCCAGGTTTTAAGGAAAAATTTGGCAAATTGGCACAGATTATGCGAGGAGTAAGACTTAGCACCAACAAGCGGAGATTAAGTTTCAAAACCACCTAAAAAGTGACCTTACTCATGTACGAGCAAATACATTTCACAAAGACACTGACAAAAAAAAATACAAGAAGCACGTTAACCGTGCGGATTCTTGCTTCTACAAAAAATATTTTAGTAACCGAACAACGTCTCACAACAAATGGTTGTGTCTACTTTAACTGTGTCCTTGTCCTAATTTGTAGTTCTTCGAAATTCTGTCCACACCCTCACTCGACAGGGAAAATATACAAAGGATGAAGACTGGTTACACGTCTAGCGAATTCTCTTCTCACCGCACAAGTTGAATGCTACTCTTATTGTTGTTAAGAAATGGTTCTTGGTCAATCCCTTGCTTAAATTGTTCGCCCAGCGTCCCAATTCTCCCCGGTGATTTATAACTGTAAGGCTGAGTGTAGTTAATGAACTGCTCTTCGCCAAGCCATTACCCACACCACTGGCCCAGTTTCCCATACTGTCAACATGATTGTTAACTGTAAGACTGAATGTAGTTAATGAACTGCTCTTCGCCAAGCCATTACCCACAC